AATAAATTTAACAATCAATCAATAGTACAGCTTTTATGTTATATTAAAGATGGAAAGAATTCTGAAATGATTTATCTTGGTCTGATTTTTGTTTACACCTCAAAAACCTGGCATTTTAACAGGAGTGTGTAAACTTTTTATATCTATTGTATCTGTGGGCTTTTTAATCAAAATTACTTGGCAACTTTAAGATGTGTGGACTTCAACTCCCAAAATTCCCCAGCCAGCATCTTAAAGTTGCCAAGTTTGAAAATGATTAAACATGACACTTGTATTAATGAAAAAGGTTTCTAAGTGTTCAGAACAATGATATATTTTTAAATGTATCCAATATTTTATGCACTTCCTGTTATTAAAGAATATACTTAACCAACATGTTTGTAAAGAAATGGGTTTTTAATTAGTTTTCATCTGCTTTGTAAATGAAGGAGATCATGTCTGAAAATGGCTAAAAACAATAATGGGCACCATGACAATAAATGGTGTGCTGGGGAAGGAAATTGTTTCAGTATTCAAGAATTAATTAACATCATGGAACAAAATAGAGGAAATAATCATGAGATTAAATATGTGGTTTTGCAGTACATAAAACATAGCACTTCCCTCTTGCCCCAATTGAAAATAAATAGAAAGCTCTGTATATATTGCACTAAAGGAATTATTTCATAAGCATTTTGTTTTCCATTAACAAACGTGACTGTTTGTTAAGCCTGACATTTCAAAATTGCACTCTAACTTAATTCTGACAATAAGTTTGCATAGTTTTAATAAAAAACAAAAAAATGGATTGCTCTGTAGAAATTTTCCAAAACCCTGCCAATCTTAGAGAAACTAAAACACATTGCAATTAAGAAAAAAGAAGGAATTGTAGATTCCTGACTTCCTATTACCGATTTACATTTGGAAACATTAGGTTTGTGATCTGTGCTCATTCCTATATGTATTATTTATTTATCTGAAACAATATTTTGAGGTTGTCCACAGGCTTGCCCATATTTAAAAGAATATGATACATTAAAATGTTCCAAGCATCTACTTTATCCTTGAAACCACAGGAAACAAGCTGTACAGGTAATCTTTGAGTTAGAACTGTAATGGAGTCTGTTCATTACGGATGAAAGTTATATATGTTGACAGCAGCAAGATTACTCTACGCTCAGAAATGGAAGACCACATCAATTCCTACAACGGACAAATGTTTGCAAAAACTGATGGAGCTAGCAGAGATGGCTAAATTGACTGTACTGATTAAAGAAAAAAATGTGAATACTTTTATTGCCATGTGGAAACTGCTTCTAGATTTTGTGCTTGAGGTAGAAAAAAAATGAAATTTTGATTGTGGGCTTTACCAATTAGATTTGATGTTATTGAAATGGCTAGTTTATATTATTTTGTCAAAGTTGAAGCTGATACTCTATTGCACCAAAGGAAGTCGGAAGTCAATGCCTCCCCCCCCCTTTTCCCTTCTCACCTCACTTCTCTACTCCCTTTTCCATCTTTCCCGCTATTTACTTTGTATTTTGATTGTATCGTATATTATAAACTAATAAAACTTTGAATATTGAAAGTCAGGATAAACGTTAAATGAGCAGCCTCTACTAATGATCAGCTATCCCTGCTGTCCCCGGTGCAACTGTTAACGAACGTCCATTAAGTGGAGCATGGGGTGGTGAGACATCTTGGGAGGCCTAGTGTAGACACAAGCCATCTGCATTGAGCCTCCCAAGGCCTCCCCCACTCTCAGAGGCACCCCATCTCTGCTCCCCACCCTTAGGGTCCCACATATTTCTTCCCACCAATCACTCCCTCACTTTTTAACAAAGACTTCCATCTGGAAGTTCTGACACATTGGGAATTAGAGCCTCGTCCCTTGGTGTCCCTAGTCCAAAAGCTAGTGCCATTTTCAGAGTAGCCGTAATGAAATGTGAGCCCTTCAAAATGGTGCTTGCTTCTGGAAGGGAACAAGGAATATGGCCTACGGAAAAAGAGCTTGTTCTTCTTTCCCAGTGCCTCTTGCTGGCTTGCACATGTTAATAATAATAATAGTAAAGTTGGAAGGGACCTTGGAGGTCATCTAGTCCAACCCCTTGCTTAGGCAGGAAACCCTATACCATTTCGGACAAATGGCTGTCCAGTCTCTTCTTAAAAATCTCCAGTGTTGGAGCATTCACTGCTTCTGGAGGCAGGTTGTTCCACTGGTTAATTGTTGGCTGCACAGCTGTCATGCCAGTGAGAAACTTGTTGGTTCTGATGCTGCCCTTCCTCCTGCCAAGGTGCCCTTACCTTTCTGGGGCAAAACAAGGGCTGGTTCCTTAAACTGGTCTTGGGAGATGGCAAATCTTCTCCTGGCTTTTGCTAGGCTTTGGAAAAGCTACAAAGGTAGTTGGTTCAGGACAATTTTACCAAAACATTTCTCTTGTTTTAGCCTCCTCTGTTCCCCTAGAAAGCCACTTTTTTGGGGGGGGGGAGGGGCTTGGACTTGGCAGCCATGATGGAGGCCGCACTTTATGGTGGTGGGAAAGAGACGAAGTTTGAGCAAAGTTAAGTGGGAGCTAAAGAAGTAAAAGCATAAGAAATAAAAGAAGGAGAAAGAGGGGAAGAGCGAGCAGGACAGAAGAAAGAAAAAGGAGGAGGGGGGGGATAGATGGTGGCAGTAATGGTGAACAGCAGCGAGCAAGCACAAACAGCAAGCGTCAGCAACCAGCAAACCACAACCACAAGCTGACATAACTATAATGGGGTGTGAAACTGAAACCGGGTGGCTAGAAGCACCCAAATGGCTCCAGGGCAAGTTGCAGAGGAATAAGTAGTAGCAGACAAGCAACAAAGGGATGACATTGGCCCCAAAGGCATTCAGAGTGGAAGAAAAGAAAGAGGATATTTATAAAAGTTAAGTAAACTTAAATAAAAGGAAAGACAAAGTGGTGGGGAGGGAGAAGAAATGGCATCAAAAAGTAGACTGCAAAATGTAGACTAACAGCTGAGAATGGCAGCTGTGAGACAGGCAAACTGTCATTTCAACACTAGCCACAAGTGCAGCTGAGGACTAACTGTTAAGTATTGTTTCAGCATTAACCCCAAGAGGTTAAAACTCTCTGTAAATCCAAACTTCATAAAAAAACAAATAACAATTTGTTATTTAAACTTTTAAATTAAAACTGTTAGGTTTAGAATTTTGTAATTTTTTAGAATTTTTTTAAATGTTATATAATTTTTTAACATTGACATCTTTTAATGAAAAAAATATTTGAAATTTTCTAATTACATTTTAAAATTATTATTATTAATTATAATAATTAATTATTTAATAATTAATAATAATTAATTTTATTAATAATAATATATTTTTACATCTTTTAAGATTATTAAAATGCAAACAAATTGAAATAGATTGCAACCAAACTGAACAACAGTAGGGAACAATTAAGAGACTTACTAAAATAATTAAACCAACAGATTATTATCCCTTTCTCCTCTTCCCTGTGGGGATGAAAGATACCACAAAGAACCTGAAAATATCAAGAGATTATGAACACCTAAACATAAAAGTCAAAGAAATGGGAGCAAAGGTGGTGTTTTCTTCTGTATTCCCAACAAAAGATAAACACCGAAAGAAGGAACAAGAATTTTTGAAATAAATCACCGGCTTAAAGGAATTCTGGGAGTTGAAGTCCATGAGTCATAAAAGAGCCAAGGTTGCCTACCTGTCCCAGCGGATAGCCACTTCAGTATGAACCAGCAGTGTGCTGCAGGTGTCAAAAAAGCCAATGCAGTTGTAGGCTGCATTAACAGAGGGACAGTATCAAGATCACATGAACTTTATACTGCATTGGTAAGACCATACTTGGAATACTGTGTCCAGTTTTGGTCACCATTGTCCAAAAGAAGATGTCAAGATTCTAGAAAGAGTGCAGAGGACAGCAATAAAGATGACTAGGGGATTGGAGAATAAAATGTATGAATGGCGCAGGAATTGGGTGCGTCTGGTCTAATGCAGAAAAGAACCAGTGGTGACATGATAGCAGTGTGAGAGTCATGATAATCCTAATAATAACCCTAACCCTAACCTTAACTCTCTGCCCTCCAATCTCTAGCCTTTTTAAAAACTCTCTACCCCTTTTTTAAAACTTCATTTGCTATATTACTGCATGCCTGGAAAGAGGGTGACAAAATCTGCAAGTTATTTATCTTGACCCCAGGCTGAAGAGTAAAGGAATCAAGCAAAGAAAGACAACCTTTCTCCAGCATTCAGGATCTGAAGAAAAAAGTCCCAAAGCAAAATCGGCTAAAGCAGAAACATGCAGCAAATGGTCATGGGGTTCTAAAGGGTGTCAAATGGGCAGCAAAGAGCCGGTCTTGACTCCCTTTAGGACCCATATTTTACCATGGCTGTGGCAAACTTTTTTTCCTTCAGTTCCTCAAGGCAAAAAGCTGCAGATTTTTCTTTGCTTGCTTGCTTCCTTTCCTTTCCACTTCAAGGGGGTCTTTGAAAGTGGTAGAGGTTGGAGGGCAAAGGCAAAGAGTTTGGGCGGGGGGGGGGGCAAGAAAAGTCAATAAATCTGTCCCTCCCAGCTTTTTTTGTTTTGTGAAGAAATGTGGCTTTCTGGGGGGGGGGAGGGGGTTAAAGCAAGGGGAAGGTTTTGGAAAGCTTGTCCTGAAGCTGCTGCTTTTGCAAGCAGGGGCTGACTTCCCAAAGCCTAGCAAGAAAAAATCTCCTGATGGCCAGCTGATTGGAGCAAAAAGCTCTGGAAGCAGCTGTCATTTCCCACTGAAAATAACGGCTGCTTCCAAGAGGTATGGGGAGCAGGCCCAAGCACTGCAGGGTCCTGGCAGGGTAGCATGGAGGTCATAAGGGCGCTGCAGCAGTTGTAATTTTGAAACAGAGTTATATGTAATTTGGGGGCATCTGTCGTAACTTTGAACAGTTGTTAAGTGACCTGTTATATCTTGAGGATTACCTGTATTTTTTTTTAAAAGTCAGAAGATATCCCAGATAAAGATTCATGCACTGCTGTTTCAAAAAACAGCATTTTTGAACTTCCAGGGCAGGGAAGGATAAAGCAGCTAACCAAAAGCCTCTTTTATTTTATTGCTTAAACCTGATGATTACGATGCCAAGAGCAAGCGCTCTTTTTGGACAGATATTTATAGAGAAATTGGGTAAAAGATTCTATTTACTACTGTGTGACTCTTGGGTTGGCTGGGGAGACAACTGTTCTCCCCAAAGACATGTTTTATGCAATTTTTCATTTTTAGCCTATTAAAAAATAAAACAGAAACTTGAGATATAAAGTGCTTCGTTTGCTGACACTATTAATGAAATAATCTTATTTGTAGAATCACTTCTCTGATTATTCTCATAGGCACACAACCCATTATCTGTATTCAGGGATAGTCTTGCTACCACATCCCTCTTTTCTGCCATTTTTCTTTTTCTACTTGGATAGCTTTTTACTGTATGAATAGGGAACTTGTGATCTTGCAAACTGTTGTTGATTAAACAAATCCCCATTTCTTGAAACTGTTATGGTATGGCAACTGGCATTGCTGGGATATACAACAGTATATCAACAACATCTGGAAGACTCAAGATTCTTCACTTCTGCTCCAAAAGATCTTATTTTTCCTGTAAACATTAAGAACCAGTTACAAACTATAATATTTTCCATGTTCAAGTTGCACTGTATTCCATAGGTGAGCTTGCCCTTTTAATGAGCTGATGTCTTCCTTGGGGTCTTCTCTACATGCACTTCTTTCTACGCTTTGCTGCAGGGAATAAAAGATAAACAGAACGATAAACTATTTGGCTGTTCTGCAAACTTTTAAAATTGATAAATAAATAAAATAAACTTAGCATAGTAATTTATGTCACTGTGGCATAGATATAAAGCCCTCCCGACATAATTCCTTCTATATATGAAGAGATCCCTGCAAACGTACGGCTAAACTTTTCCTTCTTCCAATTGCTGTAATATACAAGGACTGCATTTGGCTCAGCTGCTCATGATAAACTGGGTCCTTTTATACTTCAAAAATATTTATGTAAACTGGTGAAAATATTAAAAATTAAATGCCTACCAGAAAAGGAAGTCTGGCCTCTAAGTACATTCACTGAGGATGCTAAGGGGTCTCTCCAAAGAAAGACCTTCAGACAAGGGGACTTTTTCCGTGATAGCCACACGTTGCAACATTAACAGTTAGGGAAGGATGTGGTCTTCTCCAAGGTCCTAGTGCACACTGAATTTAGGGTGATTTTGAAAGAGCCAGGAAAGTGAAATCTGTATAATTGAAGATGGGGTGTTAGCCAAACCATTGCATATTTAATCAAAAACTGTAGGTAGCTGAAAGTCCTAACCCATCCATTTTAATTTTTAAAAATGTTATTAAATTAAAAAGCTACCCAGATCAACTGTGAACTTTTGGTGGTGTACAATATATAAAATTTAAAAGAATTTAAATTAAATACAATAGTATAAAAAGACTGTCTGGAGAAGCAACCACATAATCACAAGGGGTCTGACACCCATTCTAATCCAGGACAGTCTAATCCAGGTTTAGGACAGTGATGGCAAACCTGTAGCAAACCTCTCAAAGGTGACGTGCCCTGACATTTTGGTGACATGCCAGCATGCACTAACATCCGACAGCTATTCTTGAAAGCAAACATCATTCTTGATTTTCAGAGGCTGCAGAGGCTGCATGAGAATGGGGTGCACCCTCATGCAGCCTCCAGACCCCTTGGAAGTTACTTTAGGCCCAGCCTCGGCACTGCCACCGAATGGTGTTGTTCAGGGTGATCTAAATGGTAGAGGGGTGATAGAGAATTGTTTCTCTTTTGTTCGGGTATGTGTGAGAGAGACACACATACCAATAGAGTCAAGATAGGCATTTTTGGCATCTTTGACATGCTGAGCCCAAAAGATTTGCCATCACTGGTCTAGGACAGGGCTTTTCAACCAGTGGTACGGGTACCCCCTGTGGTACATTGGCACCTGGCAGGTGGCACGCGACCATCCTAGAAAAGTGCTAGTGGGAGAGGGGAATGAGCTGAACCGGTGGCAGCACCGCACAAGCCTGAGCGAGAGATAGCTGGAGCTGCAGGGCTGTCAGGGCTCAGCGGAAGGGCCAGGATCAGCGCTTCTTCAGAACTGTCAGGGCTCAATGGAAGCACCAGGATCAGCGCCAGGCTTCAGCTGGAGCTTGGCGCTGATCCTGGTGCTTCTGCTGAGCCCTGAAGAAGCACCAATCAGCTGGAAAGTAGCACTGATCCTGGTGCTTCTGGCGAGCCCAGAAGAAGCGCTGATCTGCTGAAATGTTGCAGCATCTCCAGGGTTTTGTGATTTACATTCAGATGCTTGGCAACTGATTCATATTTATGACGGTCACAGTGTCCCAGGGTCATGTGAAGTGATCAAAACCTGCTGCAACCACTCAGCAGACGGGGGGAATAAAAACCAAACACCCCCACCCCACCCCCGCTGCCAGTCCTCAATGGAAATGCTCACAATGAAAACCTAGGACAGGAGGAAGAGTGCTGCTGGGCGGGTGTCTTGCTCGGCTGTGGCTTGGGGGGCACTTTTTTCAGTGCCATTGTAACTTTGAACTGTTGTAAGTCGAGGACTACCTGTACTTTATGAATTTTTTCCTTTTTTTCCCTTTTTTTTTGGTCATCAAGGTTTTGACACCTTGCTAGACGACTGGTAGTACTCGGATAGTGCCATATCCTAAAAGTGGTACAATGGGTGAAAAAGGTTGAAAAGCCCAGGTCTAGGAAAAGAGCAACTCTTAAGGGCTTGTCTAATAAAATTAAGGCGGAGACTCTAAAAGGATGTTATTTCAGAGGGCAACTGCTAGGACAGAGAAGGCCTATTTCCTGAGTTCCATCAGATGTCATCACTTAATCAAAGCATGTTGATTGCCAGATGGCACAGGTAGTAACTCTAAAAGACAGCAGCCCTTCAAGTAATCAGACCTTATGTCCTGAAGAGCTGCAGAGATGGTAACTAGCACCTTGGATTGCACTGGTAATCATTATGACTATTACAAGATTATATCTTAATGAAAAACAAAATGAAAAATGCTTCTCTCATGAACACATTACCTCCTGGAAAAGTGTAAGCAGACTGGAAATGTAGAAAAAGACAAAAAAAGCATAATTTACCCCACAACCATTTTGTTAGGTGCTCCCCAACGAAGTAGAAGATGAACATTATGCACACAGCAACTGAAAGAAACATTGCCTTTCCAAGTAGGCCAAGCACTCCTAAAACTGGATAAGCCCAAATCCCAGCTACATGATGTATCCAAATTATCCTAAAACAAAGCAAGGTAAACATCGTAATGAAATACAGGAAGCCAAACAGGTTAAATATTGCACCTGTTTCGAGGTTGCCTGAAAATATTTCAGTTGGCTAATGCTTACAGATACAAAAGTTAATATTACACTAAGTTGGATATAATTAAAAATCTACAATGTGATCTCCAAGGCGAGGTCTTTAAAAAGCTCCGTTTATATGAGGAAAAATGAAATGTTCTTAACTCTCCCATTTAAATCAGTAGGTCACAAAATGTTTGACAATGACTACTTCATAATGGCAAATCTGTTATCTTCCAGATACTACCACTGAACTACGTTTTCCAACTTCCATTACTGTAGTGAAAGATAGATTTGGACTACTTGAAGTCAGCAATATCTGAATGCTACTGGTTCCATAGTCCATGAGAGATTGAGGTAATTTTGCCTGCAAACTTGTATAGTGATTTTTAAATATTCTAGAAGAATTACATAATTGCTCAGAGAAGCAATTACTCCTCTTCTGTCCTCCTCCTCTCCTCCCCTCTCTTCCGTTCCTTTCCTCCTTTTCTTCCAGTTAATACAAAATAAACATCTGAACAAAATAAAAATGTTTTAAATTCAAATAAATTTCTCAAACAAGATTGAATACCTACCATGATAGGTATACAACTGCAAAGATGCCAAGTCCCAATATTCCTTTCCATCTAGGAGGATACTTATGTGAACATATAACCAGCTCTATGAAAAGCAGTGGCAGGATAGTAGTATGCTAAAAAGCAAAAGCAGAACATAAAAGTATGATGTAGGGCAGGGGTAGGCAACCTTGGCTCTTTTGTGACTCGTGGACTTCAACTCCCAGAATTCCTGAGCCAGCCATGAATTCTGGGAGTTGAAGTCCATGAGTCATAAAAGAGCCAAGGTTGCCTACCTCTGATGTAGGGAAACAAAATCAATTGCATTACTTCTTATTCTGGTTTCAGATCACTAGGAGGTATGGTGGCATAGTGGTTAGAATGTAGTATTGCAGGCAAACTCTGATCACAGCCTGGAGTTCGATCCTGATTGGCTCAGTAAAATGAGGACCCAGAGTGTTGGGGACATTATGCTGACTCTGTAAACTGCTTAAAGAGGGCTGTAAAGCACCATGAAGTGGTATATAAGTCTACGTGCTATTGCTATTCTGTTCCAACATTTTTGCAAGAAAAATACTTTCAAGATATCTTTTCTACTCTGAAAGCAGAACATCCTGTCAAATTATAGCGATCCTTTTGAAAAGCCTACGTGAATACAGATAGTCCTCGAGGTACGACCGATCATCCAGTTCATAACAAATTGCATGTGCCAAAAGAAGACACTAAGCTTCAAATACTTACCATAGTGTGATTAAGCCAATCTGGATTAATCTCATCCAGTTCTTTAGGGTACACTAGTTCTCTGTCAATTGCATAAAGGCCCCAGAAAGCAACAGCTACAAACTGAGAGAAAACATCTGAACATTATTGAGAACCTCAAATGTTGGAAAAAAATTTAGAAATCTGGTAAGTCACCATCTTACAAACTGTCTTTGTACTTGTATGAACGTAAGAGGGTTATTGTTTTAATTTCACCAGATAAACATTGATTAAAAACTGAACCTTCAAACATATTCTGGATCATGCAGTGCAACATACAATTGTATCTGCACTGTGTAAAGTCACAGGGAGTCAGGTGGCAATTCAGTTTGCTAAATTATTAGTTGTTTAATTTATAAACCCACTCATTCTCAATTTCAGAGCAACTCTATTGCCTTAAAGAATCAAATTAAATATTGTGTAACTTTAACATTATATTTTGTTATGTCAAGATAGCTTAAGCAAGACAGTAATAAGCCCAATTACTTTGGAGAGTGAGATGGACATCATGTAAAATAAAAATAAAGAAAGAAAGTAGGATGGATGAGAAAATTAAACTTTTCTTCCTACTCTGTTAATAAAACTTGCTGTAAAATTTCATTTGCATTTTAAACCAATCTGCTATTGCAGCCTAGGAAATTATCATCTGAAATATAAATAGCTGATTTATAGAGGCAATTTTTTTTTCAGAACCATGACAGGAAGGAGGAAAAAAGGACATTTCTAACAATCTTTTAAAGAAAAGAAATAGGCACAGAACACTGATTTACTTGGTTGAATCATTCACCTTCCAAGTACAGTAATTATAAAATTCAAATTATATTTTTTGTAAATTGGAAACCAGGTTACTTTTTATTCTTAAAATAAGCAAAGGAACTTTCAGAGACAATAATTGGAGCATTCAATTTTGTGACATGCAAATAATTTTAATATATAAAGTTTCATATATAAATTATAAAGTGCACAAGTTTCACTTTATCGCCCATTTTTATCATTTGAGTTCTGTCTTTTGTTTAGGAGTTCTGGGAATTTTTTTTTTTAACTAACTCCCTAAAAAAGTTTGAAAACCCCAATTTAGAACTCCCCATAAATGAACACTGCTCAATGTGTATTTCAGTTCCTACTACTTGAACAGAAATCCCACTTTATTTACTGTTTTTTACTTAAAACTATGCATGATTATATCCTTACTGCTAGATGCCAGAGATATTTTAAAAAGTCTAGTCCAGTGATGGCGAACCTTTTAGAGACCAAGTGCCCAAACTTCAACCGAAAACCCACTTATGCATCGTCGGGTGCCGGGTGGGTGTGGCCCATTGGGTGGGCGTGGCTGCGGTGGTAACAGCAGACTGGGTGGGACTAAAAAGTTCAATCAATCAATTCCAACTTTGCAAGATCTTTTTTTTTCCCACGAGAAGTTGAAATCGACTGATTGAAACTTTTTTTTTTTTTTGCACACGGTGGCGGAGGCCTAAAGCGAAAAGGTTTTATAAAACCCAGCTGAAGGCCTAGGACTGGGGTGATGGGGTGTGTGCCCACAGAGAAGGCTCTAAGTGCCGCCTCTGGCACCCGTGCCATAGGTTCGCCACCACTGGTCTAGTCATTGATAGATTTTTATGCCTTTTAGACAGTGTTGATTCCTAGCAACTGCTTGGGCAAGTCCCTCAAATTCTGTCAACATTTTCAGAAATGGTTTGCAATTGCTTCCTTCCTAGGAGTACGTGAGTGCCCAAGTCCATAACTAGTCCATAATGATGAGGTTACCATTGAGAAATTAACGTTGCTTCTGTTGATGTTATCAGTAAGCAAATGGGTATACTTTTTTACTGTGAGATTATGGAAAGGATCATGTGGTTTTTAAGAAAACCATCTAAAATCTCATGAACCTTTAAGCCAGGGGTGGGGAACGATGGCCCTTTTATGACTTGTGGACTTCAACTCCCAGAATTCCTGGCTCTGCTTTAAGCAAATCTGACTCAACCTAATGGAATTATAGTACAGTATGGATTATTTGAATAATAGCAGATGTTGTAATTACTTACTAAGCCAACAGGGAATACAAATGCAGAGAAGATGAAATCTCTAATAGGCAGCACTATAGATGATACTTTCCTTTCTTGGGAAGGAACAAACAGGGCTACAGCATCAATTGTGACACATAATAAGTACAGCACTGTCTGTAGAAGCTATGAATTCAAAGAAGTTATATTCAAGGTGGAACATACATTTTCTTTCCATTATTTATTACCCAAGAATAAAATTTAAAGTTAAAAGCCATGGCTTGGGATATTTTTATCTCTTCTATCTAAGTCCCTTAATCTAGATTTCTTCAGTATACTATACCAGGTACGGTACTTGAAAAGACCTCAAAAGTGAGAACTGTGAATCTACATCTAAATCAATTACTCCTCACCTAGTGCTCTGCAGACATTTTGGGATTGCAGTTCATAGAATTTCCAGTGTTGTGCAAAAGTAATTCAGCAACAACTGAAGGGGATCAACAATTAATTTATAGTTGAAAATTAGCAGGTTCCCATGAGTCTCTGATCTCTTGCACCCAGAAGTACCAAGGCAAAAGCCTCAAGTTCACCTTATTTTTATGTAGATAAAGGCGGTCTGAGCATTTAGCAGAGGATCCATATTAGAGAAATAATTGCTTTACAACTGATCTAGTCCCAGAGGGAGACGTGGGTACCCATCATGTTTGTAAATCCTGAAAATCCTGCAGAGATGTTTGTGGAAATGCAATGCAGCAATTTTTATAGGCAAGCCCAATGGTTATTCTGACAGGCTGATTTTAGCAGCAGAAACTGCTAAACTGCTATGGTAACATAATAAGTTCTTCTAACACACATACCATCAATTAGTCTCTAACAGCACAATATGGGGAAAAAATCCATTAAGGATGTTGAGTGAGAGGTACAGAGAAGGACATCAAAGAATTAAAGAATAAACTCAAATGTTTACTTATAAGTGCACCACAAATGAATCCAACCTGAATTTTTATTCCATCCCATCACTCAGTATTGCCAAAAATCACCTCTCGCAAAATTCTTAGTCACTATTGGCTGCAAAGGTGCAGACTTGGGCTGGGACGGATTTTCTTTGGTTATTTCTGAGTGTTCGGGAATCTGATTTAGAGACTCTTTGCTCTGCCTGTTAACTTCCACATGTTCTGGACTGTAATTCCAGAATTCCCAGCCAGAACGGCCTTTGGCTGGGAATTGTATAGCCCAACTCTCGTCAGATTTATCAAGGGGGTCACCTGCATTATAATCCAAAAGTAGGTCTAAGAAAGAATCCCCTAGGATTTGGCTTCACCTATACTAAACTGACCCTTTAAGCTCCCTCCCCTCTTGCCTCGCCTCGCTCTCATTGGCTTACCCTCCCCAAAGCCCTTCCCTCCGCCGCGTGCGAAGGGCTAAGATTAATTTGGGCAGGCGCAGCACGCTTTTCGTTTCGCGTGCCTACCTGGTTGAGGAAGGTCAGGTATTTCCATTGGCCGCCATAACTATCGTCGTGCACTTTCCGGACCGACTTAGGCAACCCCAAATTTTGAGTCAGAGCGAAGATTGCCCAGAGGAAGCAGAGGAAGTGTAGCAGTGCCACAGCTCTCTGACCTCGCACGGCCAACGGCATGATCGTTCATTCCACGCCGCGGTGGGTAGAAGTGGTAATAAGGGATAAAAGTTTCAAAGCCGCGGCGGCGCCACGCGCCGGCGGATCCTCCGCGCAGGCGCTGAGAGGGAATTTGGCGCTCAATCGCCCGCCGCCATCTTGGCTGCCTTTGAAGCTTAAAAGGCGAATTTTGGACAGTTGACGCTTTCTCACCTCACAGAGGGCCGTGATGGACAGTTCTATGTCTCTATTTTTTTTGGGGGGGGGTTGAGAAAATAGTGATTCTCCCGGTGTAGGTTTCTTTATCCGATAAGTTTTCGGTGCAGATAGAGTTGAGAATATTTGCTATTTCTGAAGCTATAAGTTAATATAATATTTCCTTTATAAATTCGCTGCCGTTGTTAGGGGATGTTTTGTTCGCTCCCCCCGTGAGATAACGTTGGAATGGTACTGACCTGATTGAGATGGGAGGGGCCTAAGCATATGGGAGGATTATTTAGTTTAGGGCCTAAGAATCAATGGTGTCATAAGCCAACTTTATGAATGCAGACATTGAGTTTAGCATTTGATTTGAATAAATAATAAATTGAAAGTGTTGAGTTTTCCTTCCAGGTTTTATTTTATAACTTAGCTTTTTGCTGTTGTTTTGGTTTGTTAGGAATAATGGGGAGTTCAGGCTGGGGAAAAGGATGCACTTTTAGAAATAGGGGATAATTTTTGAGGGGGTGGGCACTGATGACATGAGACCTGATTAATGTTGAATGAGACACCACTAGGAAATCCCAGGCTCTAAACTTTTAGGATGTGGAAAAAATATTACAAAAGAAGGCAATTTCTGTATTGCAGACAAGAAAACTAGAATGACATGCCTTTGAAAACAGAAGGAACCAAGCTTTATATTTACTTCAAAATAGTTTTTTTTTTATCACAGATTAACATTTTTATTTTTTGTCTTCTAAACAAATTGTGGTAATTTACGTTTGTGTGTTATTTGTAAGCCACTTCAAAAGTATTTTGTGTGCAAAAGTATTTATTTTTAAATGCGAATACTGTATATTTGTGTAGGATAACTTGAAAAATTGAATATACTAGATTATTCTTTCTGTATGTGTTTACTGAAAAGTAAATTCTAATTGATTTTTGTGATCTGTTTCCGGGAAAATACTGTACTTTTGCAAACTTAGGACTCAATGTCAAGGGACATTGGGAAAGAAAGTACTTAAAATAAGTTAAATCACTATTTGAAGATCAAAGAAACTGTGGTTGATTTCCAGTGCAAAAAGGTATTTTGCTTGGTAAGTTAAGACTTAAGTGCTTCATATTTCCTTTGTATAGTTGTCCCATGGACCGTTATGGAATATCTGTTAACAACAATAGCTTACTGATATGTTTATGTGATGCTTCTGTAAGATATGTAAATTAGTAATCATAACCACAACTTCTTGTGGCAATGAATTTTACTTTGAGTAAAATATATCTGAATACACTCATAATAATTTAACTGACAAGAATAACCCATTGGCAATGTGAATCATATATATAAGTTCTTCTAAGTTGCTGCATTGAAAGAGTTATGCCCTCAGAAACTTATTTCCCGATTGCTCTTTAAGTATATTTAGCATGTAAAGTATAGAACAGCTTTGTTGTACTTTAACAAAATGCAGCTGGCTGACATATGGAAAGCTACTAGAAAAGCATCAGTTCTTGTTTCATTATACAGCTGAGTGCACAAGGAAACACAACACTTTTATGCTGTGCAAGAAAGTGCATTCAGTCATAGTTCCTCAGTTTTACACAGGAACTTGGAGGTCTTCTAGTTCAACCCCCTGCTCAAACAGGAGACCCTATACCATTTCAGACAATGGTTGTCCAATCTCTTCTTGAAAACCTCCACTGTTGGAGCACCTCAACTTCTATAGGCAAGCCATTCCACTGATGAATTGATCAGTGTGATCTTAACTGTCAGGAAATTTCTCCTTAGTTCTAGGTTGGTTCTCAAGACATTTGTACAGACTTGCTAGATCTTCAATATCCTTTGTACCTTATAAGTAGCACAGTTGGCTAAAATGACTGTCAAATCTATTGAGGCTACTGCTTATAAAAGTAATATGCAGCATAAAAAAAGTCTCCAAATTTAGGGAGAGTATACTTTGAGTACTTAATGAGCTTTTCTTGTCTTGCTTCTGGACTTTTTATAGATTTTACAAGTAGAATCCAGGATTATATATTTTATTCATTTAATCTATGAAGTAAAAATTAAAGTAACCAAGTGGCTCCTTTCCACTGTTCCTCCTGCAGTTAGCTTTCTTAAAGCTTATTGCTTGTCTATGTTTTCTACCAATAGAAGGCTTGGCACACTGGACCATTGTTTACTCATGGTTATTTGATTTAAGGCTCACTGAATTTTTTATCCATAAATAACTCTACAATTAGGTGGCTATTTTTTCTGTTTCTCTTTGTTTGGTTAGCATGTAGGCAGATGTTGACAGGTAAATGACAAGTCTTTAAAAAGTAAATGCTGTTGGTGATAGTGGTGGGTAGGATTGAAGTAGCTTGGTTTTTCAAGTGAAGCCCAAAGTTAGAAGTCTTTTGGGGCTGGTAAAAATATTTGGAATTTTGACAAAACATCCTGGTAATTTTCTGAAAATGGCTGCCATGGAGGATATGAGCAGTTACAAGTCCATTTCTCAGGAATAATAACACGTATGTATAAATACAATGTACAGGTTGTAATGCTCATTTACTTTTCCTGTAAATTTAGATGTCTATTTAATAACAAAAATGTATTTTTTTAAAAGCTGGATACTTTAATGTTAGTCTCAAGACTATTGAGCAAATTAGATGAGTTACCTTTACATTTCAAGATGATAATGTCTTTACCATAACTGATCTAAACAGAGCTGCAGTAGTAGAAATCTGGTGTTTCCTTGACAACTGATAAAAACACAAGTGCATAAAAACCAAGATAGAAGGATGCGGCACTCATAAATAGCGTGGGTTGGGACAGCAGTAGCTTAATCTGTTGAGGTTACATGTAAAGTGAAGAGAGAAAAGATTTGTGAGAAGTACAGTTATAAACTTCGTACCAGTAGCATTTGGATTGGATCTACAAAAATCATAGATGCAAGAGTCTGACCAAATCTGAATACAATTTGGTGTGTTTCAGGTATGCTTGAATTTTTTTTTCATGTTAACATATAGAAAGATTCATGAGCCAGTGTACCTTGAGGTAGTCATGATTCTTGTTTATGCTTTTTTTCTTTTTGGTGTCCATATGGAAGCATCCAGTAGTTAATATTTAATGGCTTTTCTGAGTTTATAAATCTGTATTTGTATAAGCTATTCTTACATCCTTACTGTGTTTTGAGATTTCAACCTTTCTTAATTTTTTGTCCTTACAAAGATGCAGATTTTTACTAAGAGTGTATGTTCAAGAGGCATTAAGAAAATGAAGGCATGCATGACTCCAAAACTGCATTTTTTTTTTTGAAATCTTAATTCTTTGAACAGAAAAGGAATTTGGTATTTTCTCCAATATTCTGCAAACAATTGGCACTCAATTTGCATATATAAAGTTTGTCCCATTTTTTATTTTTAAAGTATTAACAAAGAATGTTGCCATTTAAAATGTTACGTAAATAATTTCAGATTTTAAAATTTAAACCTCTGAAACCAAATATTCCACATGAGCATAATGAATTATATAAAGTTGAAAAACAATGCTTCTATTAAATTTCAATGCTCTGCAGCAGCTTTGATATTTTGTGAAAAACCTATGCTATAAATGGTAATTGATAGAAGAAATTTCACCAGATGAACTTTAAAAAAAGCAATTACAAAAAATTGTAATGAGTTCATCCAAAAGGTGTTAATAACTGCAGTAGGTAGTATTTCCAAAGCAAGAAGTTTGATGATTTTTATACCTCTACAACTGATTAGATTAGATTCAATTATCTAATCTTCTCCATAACAAGATCACTGACAGAAGGTGACACACCTGTGCACACTTGTTGCACTAATGACTAAATACAGTTTCCATTGTGAAATGAAATGTAAGTATAACTGGCAGATTGAAAGATCTGTCTTTAATAGCAATGGAGCTATTTGAGAGCCTAGTTTCTCGGTTTTTATAATGTTATATTAAGCAGGGATAATTCTTGAAAAACGAGAATATGAAAATTCTGTTTATAATGTAAAGTCATCTTTGATATATTCACACTTGAAAATTCCTAGATATGAACACGCTGAAGAGATAAGAAGGGCAGGGCGTGCCTCGTCCCGGGCTTTTCCAGCTGCCACTGCCCCGCCTTACCCTGCTACCCCGCCTTACCCTGCCTTACCCTGCCCGCCTTACCCTCCCCAGCTCAGCGTTCTTACCCTCATGGCTTCCTTTCCACTGAAGCTTGGTCTGGTTAGCCAGTTCTCTAACTGGGTTTGTGTAGGCCTTTTGTCTTTCGCCTCGGCCGCTTTGCTATGCCTGGAGGCCGCCACCGCTTCGTCCCCGCTACCCGGCATATCCCGTGTTCCGCATGGCAGCGACCCACAGCCTGACTTTCTGCCGCTGGAGAGTGTCGGCCTGCTCCATCAGCAGCCACAGCCCCCCCCCCCGTGGCGGCAGGCTTCGCCGCAGCAGCCCGCCTGGGACATAGAGGGGCAATACTATTTTTTAGAGAATGTTTATTGTGGGTGTGAGTATGCATGTAGATGAATGGTGGCCCTGTTATATATAAATTTATTATTGTATTTAGGGCGTATGAATGTGAAATCTTTTTACTTTTTTATGTATATAAACTGAGTGTGAATGTGTATTGAGTGTTTGGGGTATGAGAATGGTGGAGTCGGGGGTGGAGCCTGGTACCCCCTCTGCTGAGTGCAATAGCAAAAGTAGGGGGGGCAGGACTTACCCTTGGGCTTGGTTTGTATGGAAAGCGAGTCCGGTCAGGAAGGGAGAAGGCTGGTGAGGGTGGGGGTATTCCGGGGAGGGGAGAAGGTCGGAGCATCCCGGTCATGACTGGGATGGGCAGATATGGCGGGAGCCGAGGGGCAGGCCATCTTTGGGGAATGAGGACTCGCTATGTTAGAGCGATTCCTTGTTCCGGCTCCTCAAAAGGCTCATCCTGTAGTACTGGTGACAGGGGAGTACAGGGCCCTGATTGTAG